TCCTTTTGCATAAACGCCGACTCGTGAGGCCAATCTGCTCCGCAGGCTATATGGGTTACCTATACTGGACAAGCGAGATTAAAATGACCATTTGTGGCTTATCCGTTTTATCCTAACTCGGCTTTGCGGCACTTAGAAACCGGATTCTGTGGACATTGAGCGTTATTGAAAATAACGCGCTACCCTTAACCCACGAGCTGGGTGGGTTCGGTTGACGACGGTTAATTAGCCAGAAATAGACAATCCAGGCTCCATTGTCTTCACCGATACTCCTAATTACATAAAGGTTTTATTACCTCTGTTAAAATGTAAATGTACTGAACGAACTTTGTTTGCCAAATTCTCGGAATGCGTAGGCGAGGTGTCTGGAACAAGTGCTTTATTCGTCCAACATTCTGGATTCATAGTTCATCCTATCATCAGCAACGGTAAGAACCGTATCTTATGCTGCCTGCGATGGTGGGCTCTAGAATGAAACCTAAGCGCCAGGCGAATAAAACTCTTGTTTCAGCGACCACTTCTACTTCAACTACTTCAACTTCTCCCTCTGATTCGTATTTTTTACTCATGTCCACAGTCTTCCAAATGATCGAGTACTCCTTTCTCTAGCCTGGGGAACCAAACATTACATAGCCATATCGTTACTAGCGGATCAGTGTTTTTAAGCCTGACGGTTGGACATTAGTCGTATCAAGTATACAGAACCCATGTTTACTATCTTCCTGGTTTCCTTTTAATACACTTCAAATGTTTCTTGTGAAATTGCAGTACAAACATTCATCCGTTCTGTACAGCGTGGATTTTATATGTATTCTCCTGAATATGCTAATGAGGGGTGTATCGAAAAAACACCAGTTAGGAAATAGAGCGTATTCTTCTGAAAATAATTAATACTGACGGCATATAAGGCATTCTTATTTTCACATTCTAATTCCGCCACCCCATAATTCTTTCGCCTGACATATTTCCTCTATCTTTTGAACTCCAGTGCATAATTCGGACTTCTATTCAGCATCACCCTACTTAAATCAAATGCAACAGGGGCATATGCTGCCCTATAGTTCCTCAGAGTTTCCCGAGCACCTGAACTACCGGGGCCCACCACCACCACCGACCCCACCGTCTGACATCAATCCCTTTGCCACGTCTATGATGGACTCCACTAAGTGCACCATGACCGGCCTGCCTATGGTGGCACCTGTGGCACACCTCGCCTCATCCAACTTCCCGGCCAATGGTTCTGAAGTCAACTCCGCT